AAAGAGTATCGGCATGATCGGAATCTTAAAGAAAACAAAAAAAAAAAAATAACTTCATAAAAGAAAGATTTCATAGAATTCAAATGGAACAATATCACTGCACAGTGACAGATTCATTATCGAAAATTGGAATTACCGCTTTTCGATTCCATCGTGATGATGAACATCGATTTCATGGGAAGAAAATAAGCCTATTTAGGCTAAAATTGTACAGTTGAAAAGAGAAAATATAAATCTAGACTGAATTTCCCAGGTATCGATTTCATCACTCTGTACCTCCTGCTAAGAGTCTGACACATCTTTTCTTTTAAGAATTGTTTTTTTGCGCTCAAATTTTCAAATTTCCCTTCATTGTTTTTTCCTAAACACGATCGATAGTACAACATGATTTTAGTTGATATTGAGAGGCGTCTCCGCGACAAATATTTTTTATTTGACGATCCTTGGAAATCCTGAAACTAAACATTCATTCTGAAGTACAAAGCTCTTTAAGAGGCGATATAGAGAAAGAATGTATTAAAAGAGAGAAAGAGAGGGAGAGAGAGGGAGGGAGAGAGAGAGAGAGAGAAAATAAACTGCAATAAGAAAAAAGAAATTAGTATGGCAGGAAAATTGTAGGCTATTTTTTGTAAAGAAAAAAGTGAGAAAACGAATTAACGAATGCGTAAGTTGTTTGCATTTTTTTTTCGTTCTCGGAATTTGTAGATTCTTCTAATTGTTCCGTACTAAGAAGGATGTCAAATTTTTTTTAAAAATTTATTTATTTGCATTGTAAATTTAGTTATTTTCTTTTCTTCCTTTTTAACCCGGTGATCGATGATTTCTCTTATTTTTCTTTTTTTTCTACTTAAGTGTAAATGTTTGATTAAGGACAATTCGCCCAGTGTACAGTGTTGTACAAAGATTTCATATCGAAATCGTTGCGTATTTGTCGTGTGTACATATATAAATATTAAATACGTTAATTAATTACGATATTTCTTATTCGGAGTTCCTCGTTGTAATATGAGTTATGATTATTCGGCTCTTGTATACTTCGCAGATTTTAAACTCACATTTAATGTTCTATTCAAAAAGAATACATACCACAACGAATTATTTCTCTCGATCAAAGAGAAATTTTTTAGCTGGAAAATTTAAATTATACTGAATCTAAAGGCCATAAATATTTCTTAATTTCCACTCTATTTCCATCATGTGCAATAATAAAATATAAAAAAAATCATATAACAATTATCGAATCAAATATTAAAAGTGAAAAAAAAAACTATTTTGACATTTTTGACTTGTAAAAAAAATTGCACGAAATTACAAAATATTAAAGTATTATTCATACAGACAAAAAAAAAATATTTTCTAATGTTAAAAAAAGATAAATTACATATAAAATTTAAAATTTCGATAACAATATTCTGGATAAACGAAAAGTTACTTTTAATGAACATTGTTCTTTAAAGATTTATTTGTTACATTTTTATAATATTATATTTTTTCAGTTTTAAATGCTAATAAAGAGTTTTCAATCAGTAAAATTTTACATTTGAAAAGAAATGATCAGTGGAATTTTAGCACGCGACAAAGCCACGTTATATCGTTCTGACATGTTTTATTGGAAGGAAAAAAATGTTTAAATATGGTATCAAAGTTTAGAGAGATCTGTGACTAGGGAATAAGATATTAAAGAAAAGAAAATACAAAGGAATGAATTATTAAAAATTACAGAATTTCTGATACATTCTATAAATCTTATCAATAATAATATAAGGTATAAAAAGATCATATGTTAGACTCTCCAACCACCTCTTATTTAACTTATGTTTATTCGGCTACAGCTTCTATAAAAATAAATCAATATAAATATATTAACAAAAAGCAAAAATACTTGAAACCTGAAAAAAAAAAAGATACTTGAAACTTGGAAAACTAAACGAGCGATATTTTTGGCATTTGGTATTCCTTTATACTTTAGCCGATATTTTGTAATAAACATGTATACTAGTGTAAGTTACTTGTGTTGATCAGGTAATGTATACGTGAGATAAATGTGTGTATAGCTTACGTTCACTACCTGATTGACGATACTGTGAAACTTGTACATATTTTTGTAAGATAAATTTAAGTATGGACGTCTCCTTGAAATCTTTTCAAAAGAAAAAACAAACATTCTTTACGAACAGATAAAAAAGTAAATATAGAATGAAAATTAAAAAGGATAATAACAAAAAATGAAACAACAGTAATACGATTGCTTTTTGAAGTTACACACACATGCGTTCAGCTTTGTAATGTATTCTATTCGTTGTACAATAATTCTCTCTGGTTGCTCTATGGTATCTGTATAATGACATTCTAAAGCGATAAAAGGCGTTCTGTTATCATATAAAGAAAATATAAGTAAGACGTGAGTTAGAGAGGTGAGACGGCAAACCTTAGTAAAAAATTCGTTAGTACAATAGTTTCAATGTTGTAAATAAAACAGATCAATAGTGATTATTATTATTATTATTATAATTATCATTATTATTATTATTATTATTATTATTATTATTATTATTGTTATTATTATTATCATTATCATTATTATTATTATTATTATTATCATTATTATTATTATTATTATTATTATTATTATT